GGAAGGGGGGAGGTGAAGCAGGAGGAAGGGGGGAGGTGAAGCAGGAGGAAGGGGGGAGGTGAAGCAGGAGGAAGGGGGGAGGTGAAGCAGGAGAAAGGGGGGAGGTGAAGCAGGAGAAAGAGGAGGAAAGGAGGACGTTGGGGGAGGGGGAAGAGAAGAGAACCGTCATCCTTTATCATAAAAACAACAACAACACAAATCTCAACCAGATGCCACGACTATCTTATAGATCTGGCGATGAAAAAATAGTCATATCATTCTAAATGTGTTGCTTCTTCAAAGGCAGTGAAAGACCCAACTCTCTCCCAAACATAGCTATCTGTACCATATCCCTCTTGAGCTATGGTAAAACATTTCAGGGCCCCTGGGAACGTCATCACACCCTCAGTTTTTCTCTCGTTCCCGCTCTGCACATGAGTGCTTTGCAATCAATAACGACGGAATCCCTTATCGAAAAGCGGCATTACGCACAATCCACACACAGGCTATTGGCCTGTTAGACCTCCGAATCTGACGGCCCATTTCCTTTCATGAAGACGAATGATCTCGTTCTCTACCACAAATTCCAAAGCCTCTTTTAATACTTTCCCTCTTTATACGACGCTAGGACCTTCAAATCTAACCTGAAGCAACGAATTTGTTAAAATAAATACAAGACTTCTAGCGCTACGGTGCAAGAATGGCTTACTTTCAATTTTTAAAAATACAGCTATCATTCTATTAACGAACGCAGAGGCTGTGGAACATGTGGCGGTCACCTTTTTATTGCAACAGTTTTAAGGAGAAGAGGCCAGGTTATGACCTAGTGCTTTTATTTGAGAACAGAATTAATTTGTAGGTTCTCTGGCTGTGATTGTCTCCTGAATGTATTTGTATTTTCACAGCCTGATTATGCAAATCCCACGTTTATGCAGCATCATGTCAAAAGCACCTGGATTATCTTAACTCTAAGACCTTTCTTTATCCCACTCTTTCTCTCTCACTCACTCTCTCTCTCTCTCTCTCTCTCTCTCTCTCTCTCTCTCTCTTTCTGTTTCTCTCTCGTCTGTCTTTCCATATCTCGTCTGTCTCTCTCACTCTCTCTCTCTCTCTCTCTCTCTCTTTCTCTCTCTCTCTCTCACTCTCTCTCTGTGTCTCTCTCTCTCCTTCGTCTTATTTTCATCTCCATCCCTCAATCTGCCTTTTCTCTTTCCTTCGATCTCTCTCCCTTACCTCTAATTGTCAGATCCACTTTCGGATATCCCCCTTCCCCCTTCCATCTTTACGCTTACGTGTGAAATAACAAACCGGACCAACAATTCACAAATGTTGTAGCGACCACTAGGCGCGTAACTATATCATAATGGATAGTAGTCTGCGTTGTGTAAAGTGATAGTGTATGCTGTCAGCATATTACACGGACGTTAATAATAAATATACCAATAAAGAGCTCGTAGACGTGGTCTCTTTATTTCTTTCTTAATTGCCTTTCGAGATACACAAGGCAAACATATTCACAACTAATTCTGCCATTAACCTCTGGAAAAAATGATTTTCTCTTTTTTTTTTTTTTTTTTT